TGTTCATTTAAGGTACGCGTGTTTCGCGGAGATTCACTCAATCGGTTCCTCGATCTTTGACTCACTTGTGGACCAAATCGCCGCCGAAACCGAAGCCGAACTCCACGGCTCGCCCGCCCAGCACTCAAAGTCACAGAACAGTTCCCATAACGGCAACGGCTCAGGCGGTGGACACTATTACCCTCAGCAACAGCCGTCACCACAGCGGCCACAGTCCGGCGGTGACAGCGGCGGACATAACGCTAATAATGCCAATCATTTTTACTATTCATTTGACAATCCATTGAATAGCGAACAGCAGAGGAATAACTTTTTGTTTAGTCACCAAAAACAGAATCCAAATCAAAATAGTTATCAGAATCTAAATAATAGTAGTAATGGTAATCAGAATCCAAATTCTTATCACAATCCGAATAATAACAGTAATAGTAATCAGAATCCGAATTCCTATCAAAATTTAAGTAATTTCAGTTCAAATCCCAATTCGTACCACAATTTCGGTAATAATCCGCATAATTACCAGAATGTCAACAATAGTTATCACAATTTGAACAACAGTTACGGGAGTCAACAGTTTAACGCCAATTACGGCGACTATCAGCACAATTCGCCGCAAAACATGCGAAACTCACAGCACTTTGACGTCGGCTCCGGCGGTCATCCGAACCACAGAAACTCACAGCACTTTGAGGCCAGTTATGGTCAAAACCCCAACGCATTCAACGCACAGGGCGTTAATGCGGCCAATAATTATCCCACGAATCACATGAACAACCAAAACAGCACTTCGGCAGCCGTCTGGTCCAACACGTCGTCTTCTATGTCCAACAGTAGTCAAGTGTCGGGCACGTCATCGCCAGCGCCACCATTAGGTCCGGCGCCGACACCACCGTTTGGCGGCAGTTTTGGTGGCAGCGGACAAGACATGAGTCAGTCGAGAGATCGGCTCAACGAATCGCCCGCTGTTTTTGCCGAATTGGATCCGTTGGGAATGGACAGGCCATTCGTGGACAGGTCACAGTTCTTTGCCGTATGTGTTATCTGTTAATCAATTTTGCCATATCTTTGAATTGTGACCCATATTTGTCTTGATATTTAGGAACACAAACAGCCGAAGCCATCTCTTCGGGATCTAAACCAGGATTTGCCGACAAATAATCCGAGTTATGGCACAGATATGTCGCCGATCTGTAGGCAAACCACAAACGATCAAATGGTATGTAATTATCTGTTTTTTTTTCAATATTTCTTTATATCTTATGCCATCTCTTCTGCGAGATATCTGTTAACTCATCCCAACCTTCGCTTTCCTCCTAACCCTCTCTTATATATCTGTTTCTCTTTCTCTATGTCTTTGTCTTTCACTCTTCGCCGCCAAAGACTATAAACATGTCGTCCGTTCCTCAACGACAGCAAACGCCATACTCTTCCGCTCCGAACGCCAACCCCTTCGGCGCCTCCTCTGCCTCTTCCATATCCAACGACTCCAACTCTAGCCGTCTGTCTCCCAATCCATTCAACCCGTTCTTCGCCGCCAACACTACCCGAGCTCTAAACACCGGCCAAACACCGCCACCGATTCCTCAAACCCCACCACCGGCTCTGACGCCACCGCCGCCCCCGCGGCCGCCCTCTCGCGACTGCCCACCGGTTCCGCCGCGCAATGACCTCGTGATGTCGAGGTCGGCGCCCGGCCAGTGGTCTATGGGGGCGGCGGCCCCGGTATACGCCGGACCGGCGCCCCAACTCATGCCAAAGCCTCCGACGCCAGACTTGGCGCCACCGCTTCCCCGCCGACGAACAATACTTCCGGAGCACAGATACCAGTGCTTCGAGACGACGACGAATCGTCAATCGTATGATCCGTTTTCTGGCAACTTCTCGACGACTAATAGCTTTACCGCCGCCAATAATACTAATACCATAAACACTGACCACTCATCGGCGCCTCCATTGCCTAATCCGCAGCGCAAAGTGACGCCGGCGTTGATGTCGTCCCAATCGGCGCCTTCGTCTACGCCTCCGACCTCTTCGTACTCGCCGTCGACGGCCACCGGACGGCCGCAACCGATGGCCCGAAGGCTGTCGGCCAATAAAAACTACGATCCGTTTGGCACTGCTTTTGTTGAGCCGCAACTGTCAGCGGCTGCCATGAGGTTATCGTCTACTTCTTCTTCTTCGGTGTCTAATCAACAGTTCCAGTCTTCGGTGGCCAACAGTGTGTTCGGCAACTCTGGGTTCAGTGATGTTCATTCGGTGTCGTCGTCCACGCAGTCAACGCCCAAACAGTGGACAGAATCGGTGCCAAACATCAGACAACAGGACTTGAAGTTGTCTGAAATAAACTCGCGATACGAATGGATGAACGAAACGGTGGATGAGATGACGCCCAGCACTGACTGCTCGACCGACAACCCTCTGAAGGGCTGTTTTGTCGCTGACTTCAATTCGGTGTTCTCGTCGCCGTCCGACCGCTCGTCTCCGGCCACCACTGCTGGCACTGGCGGTGCGTTTGGCTTCGCGGCCGTCGATCCCTTCAAACCGTGCAAACCGTCGAAACTGGATCTGAATGTACGGCCAAACAGTGAGCCGCCGATAGCGATGAGCGCCAGTGGTTTCGGCGGCTTTGACGAAGACTTTTGTCCCAAATTCTCGGCGCCTAAACATTGTGTCAGTGATAGCGATAATAAGGCGTCCGTACGGCCGGCGTCTGCCGCCGCGGGACCAGCCGTTACCGTCGGACAGGACGAGGTGTCGCCTCCCGAGCGTAATATATTTATTGTCAAATCGGATCCGTTCGCCGACGAGTTCTTTGCGTAGAATTAAGTGGTTATCTTCGGTAAAGGCTTTAGTGCCCAACCGTTTGATCCATTGTATGAAATATAGTGTAAATTATCACGTTTTAAAAGTTGTTGTTATTGTCGGGAAGTGTTGTTATCGCAGCTAAACTATCAGACAATTTGTTGTTTTGATAGCGATGTGACAAAAGTGTATTTCATTTGTTTTTTGAACTCATTTTTTTGCTATAATTATTAGTTTATATTTATATTTAGTTTTTTGATTTGATTTTTATATATTTACCGATAAAATCCAAACCAAATTGTTTTTTGAATTTATTTACAGATTATATATCACTTGTTATTGAAATTATCTATTTTTTGTTTTATGTTTTCCCTGTTTTCCATTGCTTTTGAACAACTTTTTGCACTCATTTTTTTTGCCAATTTTGCCTAAAACTCGAACAAAAGTCTCATTTATTTTGTATTCCTTTACTGAATCTCAAAACTTAAATATATTTTTTGTCATAATTTCCTATCAATTCCTTGTTTTTTATTCAATTAATTTCTAAAGAATATTCTGTTATTATATTCTTATTGTTAGAAACACTTAACGAAATTTTACTTTAAACTTAATTTATTTGCCATTTTTTCATTTACTTTATAGACTACTAATCCATTCATAGCCACCAGTAATCCGTTTGTTAACAATTATCACAATTTTGGTGCCATTTCTAGCAGTAATACAATAACTAACGAAATGCTAGCGATATTTGATTAAAATTTTTGGTTAAATTTTTGTGTTTTTTGTCCCAAAAACTTTCAGTGAAAGACCGGTTAAGTATTATAATTGGTTTTCCAATAGAATTACATAAAACTATACTTTTATTTTTTTGTCAAATTAATATAATTTACGATAATTTTAAGTTTTTGTTGATTTAATTTATAGCTTTATATTTTATCTTTGCTTTAAATCCCATAATATTTACACTAAAAACCTTTATTTTGTTTACAAACACATCAATGAATTGATAATTAATTGGGTTTTAAATTTAAAACTATATATTATTATAAATGTTAATTAAATTGTTAGACAAACAAAACAATACTAAAGTATTTTTGCTCTCATTTTTATATTACAAAATTTAGGATTAAATTGTAATGAAATTCATGTAACCCTATATTATCTCTCTATATATTATAAATACTATAAATATGTTATAATAGTTTTTAAGCAAATTAAATATTTTAATTTAATTTGTTTTTATAAAATTCTCATCACTTATGTCTCCATTAATACTATTATGATTATAATTATGACAATTAGTATAGGAATTATATAAAGAATTAATTTTTCTGTTTTTTATTTATAATTGAAAATGTTTTTTAAATTATAACTATTATATACACTACAAGTACCGACAAATTTTAATAAATCTATAGATCTATAAATATATTACATATATATATTTGAAAACTATATGAATTATTAGACATTATATACAATAATAATAATAATATAAATATATTTATGGATTAATTACATAATTAATAATAATTTAATATTTCTTGACAAATAAGTGAACGATTTTCTCTCTATTTCTTTATAATTTGTTTTTTCTGTGTTTTTTGAGATAAATTTACATTTTTATTGTAATTACTATTATTTAATTAAATTAAATGCTCTCTAAATTGTGTTATAAAATGAATAAATGAAAAGTCAAAAGATTATATAATAATAAACTCATAATTTTATTTTTTAATTGTTTGCAACTTATTTCATATCTATTTAAATGTTATTATTATAAAGAGAACTTGATTTAAATCAGTCCTTATTTTAACAAATAATTAGTTTATAACTTATAATAAATATGTTTTTTAATTATTAAACACTAATACATGTAATGTGTATTTGTTTAAAACCTAGATAAGTCACCAAGAATTATGTAAAACACCTGGTTAATATGTGTCGGCATGTGGTCACTCCATTAGTTTATTTCCAACATGTATTTTATAAATTTTCCAAAAAAATAATTATTAGCAAAAAGAAAATGATTGGTCTTTCATCGTTTGCTTATCAACTATTGGCCGTCGCGTGGATTACAGCCCAACGACAGCTCATTCACGACAACACGTGTGCCCGAACTCAATGGCAAAGCAGTTATGACTTCATTGTTGTCGGCGCCGGAACTGCCGGTGCGGTTGTGGCCAACAAACTCAGTGCCGGTCACACCGTAAGAGTGTTGTTGTTGGAGGCGGGAGGGCCTCAGGACGCCATATATAACGATATCCCCGCAATGGCCGGAAGGAGTAATGTAAACGAATGGCTGTATTATAACGAACCGCACGATAATTATGGCCAACAGTTTGCCGGCGGACGAGTGAAAGAAAAAATGGGTAAAACACTGGGAGGCTGTTCGGCACACAACGGCATGTATTTTAATCGGGGTAATAGTCGTGGTTATGACGAGTGGGCCAATACGTACGGCGCCGTCGGTTGGAGTTATAGGGATGTGTTGCCGGTGTTCAGGGAGTGGGAGAACAATACGGATGCAGTAATTGTTGCCAATAATCCCGGATATCACGGAACTCGTGGACCCATTGAAATCAGTTCGTCTAAAAATCCCGATAAAATACTTGAGATATTTCAAAGTGCGGCCAATAGTTTGGGATACAGTGAGACAGATATAAACGGTGCCAATCAGGCCGGGTATGCAAATATGCAGTTATATATTAGTTCGTTAGGATTCCGGAGCGGAACGGGTAATGCATTTGTAGACCCGAACCCATATCCAGATAACTCGTGGACCCATTGAAATCAGTTCGTCTAAAAATCCCGATAAAATACTTGAGATATTTCAAAGTGCGGCCAATAGTTTGGGATACAGAAACAATTAGTTTAAACCCGTAAATAACGACAATCTCAGCGATTGAATAGTTACCGATCGGTGGATGAATTGCTGGAACCGCTCACAGAATGATTGGCAACCGGTATATTGAATGCCTGCTGTTGTTGTTGAACCGGTCGGGGAGATAAGGACACCGAATCGCTGCTACTGTTGGCCACAGCGGGTGACACGTTGTTCATCTGTTGAGGCATCTAAATAGTGCATAAAATTAACTATTCATTAGAAGTCGCTCACAATAAGAGCACAGGAGGCAGTTGTTATGGGTGAGTGCGTTAGAGAGAGAGAGAGAGACTGACGTTTAGCTGATTGTGGTGTCCGAGGGATGAATTAAACAGCGATTGTAATGCCGCCGATGAAGAAGACGACGAGTTATAACTGCTGGCCGACTGGTGTCCGCCCGATGACCGGTCGCCGGCAGTCGATGTCGTAAAGCTGCCGACATTTTGCCGACTGAGCGTCAATACGAATGGCTTATTGTTGGCACCGGTGGCGGAAGAGTCTGCGTTATTATCACGTGACTGTTGCGACTGTATTAGCGGTGAGCCGGTGGCCGACGTGGGACTGTCCTCATCGAAGTTGGCCCAATCGCCGCCCGCGGACGACAACGACATCGACCCAAACGATTGGGCAAACGGATCGCCGTCTATACCACTAGTCATTGGCATCTAATTAGACAATTAATTATAAAAAAGTTTATTATTTTAAGTTAATTAATTTAAAGTACACTAAAACTAAAGCTAACTGTGGGTTATATAAAATATATGCTATGTTTTACACTAATTAAGGGACTGATGTATAGGTGCTCTCTCACGAGCGCCTGTCGACCGACACATACACTGACAGCCGTTGTGTTATTCAATGTATAAAATAATTGCAAAACACTATTATTTTGATTATTGAGTTATTTATAACAAAACACACTATTATAGTAATTACAGGCAAACAAAGATACAAACAATACACACGATATATATTACAATCTGTCAGTTAATGGCATTCGTTATCATAATAATAATGAAAAGCCTATGCATTAGTGGATACGGTTAGCAATCAAATCAATTATTAATTGATTCACAAACGGATCGATGCATTTTATCGCATGGAAATTAAATTATGTCTATTTTATAAACATGTATCGCAACTAATAATATACTTTTAAAGTGAGAAATTAAATCTCAATTTCACTGTTTGTTCACTATATATGAAATATTCCACTAAAAAATCTTAATCGTTAACTAATCTAATAAATGAAATAAATTATTGCAACAAAAAACACACATTTATTTTATCACAGATTAAATCCCATATTTCTCTCTCTCTCTCTCTCTTTCTCTCTAACCCATAACAACTGCCTCCTGTGCTCTTATTGTGAGCGACTAATAATGAATACTTAATTTTGTGCACTATTTAGATGTCTCAACAGATGAACAACGTGTCACCCGCTGTGGCCAACAGTAGCGGCGATTCGGTGTCCTTATCTCCCCGACCAGTTCAACAACAACAACAACAACAGCAGGCATTCAATATACCGGTTGCCAATCATTCTGTGAGCGGTTCCAGCAATTCATCCACCGATCGGTAACTATTCAATGGCTGAGATTGTCGTTATTTATGGGTTTAAACTAATTGTC